TGTGTGGTTTCTATGAGTGAAAAGTTGATTAAACATGTAAATACAGCTTAAAACTGAAAGCGTGCAGGACTTTTTCACACAGCTGTAAGTATAATGTATCAAATATAAAAATCTGATAATAAACGGAATGCAAAATAAATTATTTAGGATCTGTTAGATATGTTAAAGCCTCATAAAGAGCATTAACTTCTCCTCCATACCAAGCCATTACTTGCAGAGCCTTGTGTCTTTCCAATAAAAGATTACCAATGTTTCCAAATGGAAAAAAATCATTCTAGAACATTTTTCTGACAAATTTGAAGACTGTCAATGCTGTAATTAAAATGGTGATACCAGAAGATACTAATACATGACAATAGTTTTTCTGCATTTTGTGCAGTTTACTCTCCTTTTTCCTAGTGTTAGGGTTTTTTTTTCTGTCTTCCATCTCTAATAAAAATTTGTTGGTTTCTGGATTATTCTTGTATAAGGATTGAATCAAAAAGTCTTTAGCATTATTTCTTTCAAGGTCCCAGTATTTTCTGCCACCCTGAGCAGGCTTTTAAATACAACAGAATGAGATTCTAATCAACAGAATGCACAAATGCAGGTATTAGTTTTATTTGCACACAGCTGTGAGTTGCAATCACCCAGCACCATTCAATTTTCCTCCCCAGTGAAATCATTTTCAGGTATGAATGAAAACAGAGCCCCATATGCTGGGCAGTTTGATATCAATAGGCATGCTCTTTCAGATAACCTTGTCTTAAACCACTTAAGGTTTTAGAGGCTAAAACTAGCTCCTTAAATTAGAATGAAAACAACCTAACTCCTGTAGAACAGATGTAGCAAATAAGCTTAACATGATCACTTAGCTCCAACAAACATATGTGTTGCATTTTGTGCTTGGGAGTTCTTGTTCATAAATAAGGGCAGTCTTCCATAAAGTGTATAATCAAACCCCCGTGACTGAAATTGCAAGCAGGCTATAGAGTGTATATGTGAATGACATTAATTATTAATTAAAAATAAAAGTAAACTGGACAAACTAACATTTTTAGATGATAAGAAAAACAAATAGCAGGTAAAAATGAATTCCCAGTAGAAGAAAAAAGAAGTCTGAGATAAATCTAGTTCTTGAGTCCAATAATTTGTCTGCTGAAGCTTTCACTGGAAAGCAAAAAGGAGACGTGGTTTGCAGGTCAAAAAGCCAATGAACAGTAGCAGCACTTTCTGTCTGCAGGGAAAACTGGAATAATAAGGCAATGTTGTTTTCACTCAAAATTCTTTCTAAGGCAAATTCCCCTCTAACAAAATATTCTATATTACCATAGCTAAATTATTACAGCCTACATTTTATCAACAGAAACATAGAGAATCTACTATAATGAAGGCAAACAATATTGAAAAAATGTGCTTAAAGATGGGAGAATATTAGGATTCAAAACAGAAATCTATTTTTACTAGAAACCTTTCATTCTATTTATTGAGTCATTTATTGTCTATTTTACTAATTGATGCCCTAGGTATCTATCTATATGTTACAGATTGCCTAGCATAAACATTTTGCAAACAACCATGATGGGCCCCACTGTTATCATATTACAGATGGCTAAATAAATAATCAACTTATCATTTATTGTATCATAACAATATTTTAGGAGAAAAACCAGCATATAGCTTAAGGGAAAAAGCTAGGGGCCTTTTGTTTTGTTATTTTTAATAGGTTACACTGTGACACCATGTCATGATAGACCAAGGGAATAAATTAATACCAAATCAAACTGCACATGGGATATACACAAAGTTATAAGGAATGTGTATTTTTGTCACAGGCTAAAAGGAAGCTCATTTATCAAAAGCTATTTTCATATTTAAAACTTTTCCTCAAACACATAAAACCCATTAATTAAAAATGTAAGTTTTACCTATAAAAAGTATGATGCTCCACACAAACCTTCCATAATCGTTTTGCAGCCCTATGATTTGACAGCTTAAAGCCAATAGTACTCTCAAACTGCTCCAGCTGAAAAAAAATTAATGCAATCAGATTATGATTTTTGAAAACCATTTGCGCTAGCTAACTGTTTAGACCTCATATTATATTTTGTATTATGATTCATTTTCATTATTTCCCTCAATTACAGATACTAATAGTTACAGAAGATAAAGAACACCCCTCCCTGATATTTATAAATATTTAGATGTCTTTACTGGCTGGTTCCTGGGATCCCACTGACAACTTTCCATACGTTGCTTTCCTTCAATAAGCACTATAAATTTTGTAAAAAAAATGTTTATTTTTGTTGAGTTTCATATGCAAACTAAATTTTACTTTTAAAAAATTAAGATTAGAGCTCCAATTGTACATACTGTATCTATCAAACTAAATCAGTGGGAATTAAATTTTTTTAGCATTTGATTTCATTTACTCTTAAACTTAATGTAATCATTTTCAGTCACTTGGTGCAGTGGTTAAGATGCTGGGCTAGAAACCAGGAGATTTCTAGGCCAGGTGACTTTCACCCAGTCACCCTCTCTTAGTCCAATCCACTTCTCAAAGTTGTTGTTGTGGGGAAAAGAGGCAGGAGTATTGGATATGTTCACTGCTTTGAGTTAACTATAAAAATCACATCATCACCATTATTGTCACTACCATCTTAGAATGCAATTTAATTAACTCTAAACCAGAGGCTCAAATGCCTCACTCAGAGGCTACAATTCAAACATAATATAAACAAGTTACGAATGTAATGGAGTCTGCCCATTCCATTCGTAACCCAAGGATTCGTGGAAGTGAATATTCTACCTTGAACGAGATCACTCCCTCCTTTTGCCCACGCATTCACTAATTGAATGTGAGGCTCGTTAAATGCACATGAGATATTTCAGGGTGGGGAAGGCCAGGGAGGAGGGGGGTACTGATGGAACAGGCCATCTGCCTAAGACCACCTAAGGCCTCCCCAACCCACTGAAATACCTCATACTCCCCACAATGCTTCCCTCCCCCCCTGCAACCTACTGCGCTGGTCACTTACCTTGTGAAGATCTAGCAAGTAGTCTCCTCATAGGTTGCTATTCAAAATGCAGCTTCTGAGGGCCAAATCTGCCCCCGTGCAGGCTCCATTTCAGCCTGCAATGGGCCGGGGGAAGCATGCGGAGGGCTGAACGAAGCATCGGAGGGCTGGATCTGCCCCTCAGAAGCTCCATTTTGGCCAGCAACATGCCAGGCGAGGCCTCTAGATGCTCAAACGGGCCTTCAGTGGGCTGGATCAAACCTCNCAGCCAGCCCTTCCAAATCCCGTTTCGGCCAACCAGTTCGAACGCAGGCCCATTCATCATGCCAGATAAGTGCAGCGCCTGCATGGAGGCTCTGGGGAGGGGCGAGGCCAGCCAGCCCTTCCAAATCCCGTTTCGGCCAACCAGTTCGAACGCAGGCCCATTCATCATGCCAGATAAGTGCAGCGCCTGCATGGAGGCTCTGGGGAGGGGCGAGGCCAGCCAGTCCTTGGTGAAACAGATGCAAAATTAACAACCCAAATTCACCCGAACCGGTTCAAACTGGCTGAATCCCACCAGCGCGATGCAAGCCAACTTCCGGTAGTTCCAGAAGTCAGGATGCGGGCCTGTTTCTGGCCTCTAGAGCCGGGGAGAGATTGTTTTCGCCTTCCCGGAGGCTCAAGGAAAAACCTCCGGAGCCTGGGGGGGGTGGTGGTGTAAAATCGCTCTCCCGCTTGTGGTGCAGGAGTCCGAGTAGGCCACACACCCCTGGCCACGCCTTCCCAGCAACCGGGCAGAGAACTGGTGGCTGAAATTTTTCAACCCCACTTGGGATCCCGCCCCCCCCCCACCTCTCCATCCCCGTTGATCCCTCTGTGACCCCCCTCGCCACCCCCACAAGCAGGAGAAGGTGTATTATTTACCTCCAAGGTCAAATTCTGCAGGTGATAAAGCGTCTGTAAGCCTTGGGAAGTGAAATAATCAATGCAGTTCGAACATCCTATTCCTGTTAGAAAGCTAACAGAAGAAACACATTTTTTTAATTTTCAATGCTAGATCAAATCCTGAGGTTTTCTGCCATCAAGGTCACCGCACCTGGAACCACATTGGGGTCCCATCCCTGGATCAGTAGATGTCAAAAGAGACAAGAGGGACTGCCCCCCCCCCACACACACACACCCGTACCTGACAAGGCTGGGGTCTGGGTTGTAGGGTGGGGGTGGCGTGCAGTGGGAGCTGGAGACCATGGGCTGCGAGGAGTGTGCCCCGTTCATCTCTCCGTTGGACTGCATGGCGTGGCTGTTGAGCATCGTTGGGCCTGAGATCCAGGAAAGAAAACACGATAACATGGTAAGTTTACAAATTCCTTGCAATTACAGAATAGAACAGAATAACGGAGTTGGAAGGGATCTTGGAGGTCCTTTTTAAAAAAAAATAATTTTTAATTTTCAAAACAAACATAAAATCTTCTTTCTTTACGTACTGTAGAAAGTGTTTCAGTTGGTTACAAAAAGGCTTTTGTGCATCTCTTCCACCGTCATCAAGTATCGTTCACATTAACTCAAGTATTTGAACTCCAATGTTTATATATGTTACCGTCATCATACCTCCATTTTCATTTGACTATCATTGTTTAGACGCCCTTCATCGTAAAATATACCAACATTTAATACATAACCACATACTGGCATTTCATTTACTATTTCTAAAATCCTCCAATAGTACTGAGTCCTTATATCCTATTCTAGCTAAACTTCCATAATATTTACTAACAAAATTTTCCAATCCTCCTTTTCAAAACACTCTTTGCAATTTACATCCAGTTTCCTTATGATGTACCCATACCTATATATAAATTATTTATCATTGTCCCTTCTTTATTTGACTATATCCTATATCATAACATTTCCCCCCTAATAGTCAAAACTTGACTCTTATCTAATTTAGTTCTTTTTTTTCTAATTGACTTTTATATATAATCCAAAAGGGCCTTGGAGGCCTTCTAGTCCNGACGGGGGAATTCTGGGAATTGAAATCCAGACATACTGGCTGGGGAATTCTGGGGGTTGAAGTCCAGATATAGTGACTGGGGAATTCTGGGGGTTGAAGTCCAGACATACTGGCTGGGGAATTCTGGGAATCGAAGTCCAAATATAGTGACTGGGAAATTCTGGGATTTGAAATCCAGACATACTGGCTGGGGAATTCCAGGAGAACCCATTTTAAAAAGTTGCTAAGACGGAGAAATACTGCTTTGAAACACTTGGAACAATTAGCGTTAGTGTTAAATATTTTGGCTGCAGACAGTCAGAAATATTTGCTCAGGAATGTGGAAAACAAGATGCATTTATACAAAAGGGATTTTTTTTAATCCTCCCCATAGAGGGAAAACAACATTCGAAATACATTTATTATATTACTGAAAGAAGAAGAAAAAAATTACAAAAATAAGAATTATTATTATTTTTTTGTTCCTCAAAAAAAATCATTACAGCAAAACAAACATGTTTGACCACTCAGGGGGAAAAAAACAACAACTGAAGTCCTCTCTGATTCTCGTGGTCCCAGTGAGATCTTCTAAACCAGGGGCATCCAAACTTGGGAACTTTTAAGACTTGTGGACTTCAACTCCCAGAATTCCCCAGCCAGTTGGCTGGGGAATTCTGGGAGTTGAAGTCCACAAGTCTTAAAGTTCCCACGTTCGGCCGCCCCTGCTCTAAACCGAAGCCAGATCATTGTCTGAATGATCATCCAGAAAGAGGCGGATATATTTGCTACGTCCTGAGCCAGACCCCTCCAAAAGCCATGAATTCCAAACAACTTTAAACTCTTCGCTGTGTTATTTTATAGTACAGGAAGTCCTCGAGATACGACCACAATGGAAGCAGAGGGGGGAGGGATTGCTGCCGGTTCGTCCCGGATCGAGCGAACCGGTAGGAGCACCAGCGGGAGGCTCCGCCCACCCGTACGCTTCAGCACATGCGCAGAAGCATCACGCGTGCCCCGAACTGATAGTGACAACATTGGCAACCCACCCCTGAATGGAAGCCAACATTTTTCTGTTGCTAAGTGAGACAGTTGTTTCAATGGAATTTCGCCTCATTTCCTTGCCACGGTTGTTAAGTGAACCTGCCCCCCTTATTGACTTTGGGACGCTGTGACTGTCATAAACATGAGTCGGTTGCCGAGTGCCGGAATTTTGGATCGCGTGTGAACCCAGGGGACGCTACGATGGTCGTAAGTGCGAGAAATGGCTCTTAAGTTCCTTTTTTTCTGCGGCCGTCGTAACTTTTTTTCTTTTTTGTGGGAGAAAATATCAGTCTGGCGCAAATGTGAGCTTTTTGGGCACTTAAGGCCACGGTTTTGAGAAGTTGTGGGGATAATAAATCCGTTTTTTGAAGGATATAACGCTGCGCTATCCTAAAGCAGAGATTCCTAGGCGAAAAGATAATTCTCCACCTCTCCTACTTTCTTCTACACGGCCTCAAGCAAATTTAAAAAACAAGCAAACCCAGAATCAACCATAGTTCCCCTTCAAGCAAACAAGCCAGCTTTCATGGCTTCTCCCTGGGCTATTTTTGTATTTTAAATTTTGCTGCTAATCTTGGCTTACCTAGAAGTCTTCGCTAGTTAATACTGTGGCCGGGGGGGGGGGGGAAGGCATTTTTCTTACTCCCGCGACATAAGAGAATGAAAAGGATTTTCTTTTTTTCCTTTTTTTTTTAAAAAAAAAGTAAAGTGCTTTAATTGGATTTCTACTTGGCTGGCGTGATTCGATCTCGGGATCCGGGCTCGCAAAGCACAGTTCGGGGATGCTTCTCCCAATTGAGTGGGAGAATTAGTTAGAGAATGAGGAAGTCCTATGGGTAAGAGAGATGGGGAATTTGAAATCACCTAAAAATGTTTTTGTTTGCGAAACAGCCAGCTGTTTCAACACACACACACACAAACACGCACACAAACCCCACAACAGCAACAAGAAGACCAATTCTGCAAGCAAATAAGCCAAGCTGTTGTTCGGCTGAG